GGGAATGGGATGGTGTCTTGTGTTTATTGGCTGGGAATAGAAAGTAAAGCAAGTCCTGCCTTCTGAAAACCCAGTGTCTTCCCTTGGAGTGTTCGTGTGCTCAGATTCTCGTACACTGTGCGTTGTGACAACGCTCCTCTAACTTATAACAAGACTCTTTTGTACTTTCCCATAGAATGGCATAATCACAGAATCAATTAGGTTGGAAAAGACCTCTGAGACCATCGAGTCCAACCTATAAGCCTATAAATCACAGCAAAGTTAGAATCAGAGCCATGTCTTTGATGCAGGCTTTGGATGCCCAATAACCAAGATCTGAAAGAAGGATTTAGCCCACAACCTTGCTTCAGGTGTCCAGGAAGAAGTGATTTGGATAAAATTTCATCTGTAGTTCAGGGTTCAACATCCACAACAAGAATTTGAAGTCATTTGAACTTTCAGCTTTACATATTTAGGTCCTCTGTCTCCCCCTTTTATTTTTTTTAAATTTTTTTTTTTAAATCTCAGGGCAAATTTTTTACTTAATTCTGGGAGGGAGAGTTTTACCTGGGTGAAAACCGAGTGAGGATGGCAGGCCTTGGCTTGTCGCCATGGGGGAAGTGGAGATAGAGGTTTGTAGTTGAAAATAGCATGTAAAAAGCTTGTTTTGAATTTCTCAGTGGAATCTAAGAGACTCTGAGGGTGGTTCTGCATCCCCTCAGATACGGTACTTAATATTTATGCTTTCATTGCACCTTGACAAACACTTCACGTAGTTATTGCTTTGCTTGAATATGGAAATATGTTAATTATGGCCTTTATTCTGCTGCCTGCTCTTTTCCTCAGCCTTTTCTATTCAACCCTCTAGGTGGCCCAGCACAATGTGGCTCCTTTTCTTTCAATGAGCTCTTTCCACACTAATAGGGTCCAGGGTGATGTGGAGAACCATGTGCACAAAATTGGTGCACCACCCCCCATTCCTTTGTGGGCATGTCAGGTTAAATTCATATCAGCAGGAGGGTCACTGCCATGATTTTCAATAGCTCAAGATGAGGTGATGACTCCAGACAATGGTGCCACACTCTCCAGTTGGAGACACTTGCCTCACCAGTTGCAGTAGTTAATTAATATGCTAAAAATAGAAGCCAGTGATACAAATCGCTGCCTGTTGTACAACAAAGACTGGGCATGTGTAGCTTTGATAGCCAAGTTTATGGTGCTTGTTATGGAGGGAAGTTAGTTTAGAGCTAGAGGCGATGTAAGACTTTCTGGATGCTGAGCTTTAGTCACTCTGGGCCTCTGGCCATTTGCTCGCTGTCTCATTTGCATTATGAATGACATTAAGGGAACTAACAAGGTTATTGGGCATAGAAATGTTCGCATGTGACCCCACGTGGAAGCAGACCTACAGCAGTGCTAGTTGGCAGGGACACTGTGCCTCTTTATTCAGCTTCCTAGGAAGACAGTTTCTGGGAGTAGATGTAAAATCAACCACGAGAACACCAGTGTCGGGATAACGTGGAGGTCTTGGGGCAAGCCCTTAGGAGGTGGGGAAGTTCAGAGGGCAGGCTGGACCTGTGTCCTCTGCTGAGCCTGGTGGTGAGCACTGAGTGCAGGACATGGGAGCTTCCTGCTTGGGGTTCCCCACCAGCCGCTCAGGTCTGGGTGAAGCTGCTCCTCGGTGACCACGGATGAGGGTGTGGGTCCATCCCAGCCTCTGAGTGAGTCCATTTCTGCCTGCTGCTGGCTCAAAGGAGGGGTGGCACAGGGTGGGTTTTAGTTCTCACCCACTACATCATAGCTTCAGTAGGGACTGTGAAAACACTGGCAGAGTTTGAGAGGTTTCTCATCATCTCTCCACAACTTTCCTGAAACTCGAGGCGAAGAGAGGTAAATCATGGACAGTCCATTGCTACCTGTATAACTAAGAGACAGTTTGGTAAAGCCCAAAGATCAAACACAGCAGTTGCTTCCCAATTTAGGGCCACATTGGCCAAGTGAAGCCTTGTTCACACCAATAATAGCACATGGGATTTGCAATCCCCAGGAAATACAGCATGTGCTAGAGGAAAACAGACTCATGTACATGTAGTCTGTTTTAATTTATCCCTTTTCTAAAGATATTAGTGGGATTGCTGAGGAATCACTCAGTGTAGATGAGAGCGGATTTTGGGGATGTGAGGTGTGCTCCATAGATTTTTGACCATTCTTAAGTTTTACAGGTTTTTGTTATTTGCTCTGTGGATCAGGAGGACACCGGACAGTTCACTCAGGCACATAAACACTTGCAGCCTTTATAAAAACCTCTTGTTATTGTTATCAGAGTCCTTTAACCCTTCCTGCTCTTCTTGTTGGACTTCCGTAAACTGGTGTATACTGGTTTGTATAAATCCACGTGAGGTAAATGTGAAAACAGTTTTGATCACAGAATCATTAAGGTTGGAAAAGACCTCTCAGATCGAGTCCAAGCACTAACCCAGCACCCTCATGTTCACCACTAAGTCATATCCCCGAGTGCCACATCCACGCATTTTTAAAGGGATTGTGACTCCACCACTTCCCTGGGGAGCCTGTTCCAATGCCTGACCACCCTGAAGGAATTTTTCCTAATATCCAAACTTCTCTTGGTGCAACCGGAGGCCATTTCCTCTTGTCTGGTCCCTTATTCCATGGGAGAAGAGCCCAACCCCCACTTGGCTTCAGCTTCCTTTCAGGTAGTTGTAGAGAGGAATAAGGTCTTCCCTGAGCCTCCTTTTCTTCATGCTAAACACCTTCAACTCCTTTGGCCACCCCTCATAAAACTTGTGCTCCTGAGCTTTCCCCAGATCTGTTTCCCTTCCTTGGACACGCTCCAGCCCTTCAGTGTCCTTGTAGTGAGGGGCCCAGAACTGGACACAGGATTTGAGGTGTGGCCTCACCAGTGCCCAGCATGGGGGGACAATCCCTGCCCTGGTCCTACTGCCACACTATTGCTGATCCAAGCCAGGTGCCATTGACCTCTTGCCCCCCTGGGCATACCTGGGCTCATGTCCAGCCGCTGTCACCAGCACTCCAGGGCCTTTCCCACCAGGCACTTTCCAGCCCCTCTGCCCCAGCCTGGAGCTGCAGGGGGTTGTTGTGACCCAAGGGCAGGGCCCAGCACTGGGTCTTGTTGAACCTCATGCTGTTGGTCTGAGCCCATGGATCCAGCCTGTCCAGATCCCTCTGCAGAGCCTTCCTGCCCTCCAGCAGATCAGCATTCCCACCTGACTTGGTGTGATCCACAAACTTACTGAGCACTCAATCCCCTCGTCCAAGTCATTGGTAAAGATATCAAAGAGGAATGGCTCCAACACTGAGCCCCAAGGGGCACCATGAGTGGCTGGGGGAAAGTGCAATCATGGAATTGCAATTCCCATTACCTTGCTGAGATCAGCATCCTCAGGGCTGTGTCCTGCTCTGAGGAGTCAAGGCTCTCTTATTGACTCTCTCTTCAGTGGGGCCAATATAATTTCATTTCCAAGAATCAGCTTTCCTGGGTACAGTGGGTTCTTACTGTGATAATAGTGCATAAGTATTATTTTTAGAATAATGGCAGTCTATATTCCTTGCTTCAGTCAGTGGGACTTTGTTTCTTTTGAAGTGTTTGTCAGAGTGTGATGTCTGCTGAGCTCCCCTGGTAGGAAGCCACGTGCAGTGGTGGGCTTGCAGGTGGCCACCTCCTGGTGACTTTGTGAGACAGATAAATTCATGCCAGGGTTTCAACTCCTCCTTTTCTCTCCACACTTCTAACTTCTCCATCCTGTTCCAGTCCATCTGAATGAATGCTATGACCCAGGTCCCATTCTTACTGGAATACTTCAATCCCAGGGACATATTCCAGCCTGGAGAAGAACATGCTGTCTCCACAGCTCTTGAAGTATCTGCCAGTTCTGAGTCTAGGAGGCCGAGAACAACTCTCCATGTGTCTAAAACTTGAGTGGTTACTGAGGCATCAAGAGGGTTACAGAATTTGTGCTGGATGCACAGAGAAGATTTGGGATCTGCAGTTGGGCAGTTTTCTGGAACAGTCTGTTTCTGTAGACTGAATAGATTGCTGGTGGTTTATTTCATATTAAGTATTGCTTTGCTTTACTCTGCATTCGCCTCCAGTCTCCCCAGCTGAAAACTAGTAGAGGAAGGTTTGTTAATGAGTTATTGTTGAGCCAAAGAACTTGAAAATCAAGTTTCATTTTAGGAATATGTCAGTGATGTAGAAGATCTCCTGAAAATGGTCTTTAGTAAGGCATGCTGATAAACCAGGTCCTATGGCAGCATCCTAAACCTTAAAATTGTTATATAAAGACCGCAGGATTTTATCTGATTTTCTCTTCTGATTTCACAGATGGGTGAGAGGAAGTTCTGAAATGTATTTTCAACTTGTTTATTAAGAAATAGTAGTAATGACAAATGGGATCTTTGTTTTTTTTCCTTTGATTACGTAGCTATGGGCTGTAAGTGTTCTCACTTCCTAATTGCTAAGGTAGTAAAGATGAACCGTTAATTAAAATCTCTTTCCCGGGCAGGTCTTTAAATGCTCGAATTAATTAAGTCTTTAAAAACTGACGTGACTAAAAATCTCATTTTGGTCCTTTGTGATACCTTATTCCAGTTAGTTTTCCAGTTATACAGAGAGGTCTAATGTGACCAAGACCCAAATTTCTGACATAAATTGCAGAAAGCCTCCTTCTTCTCTTTCCTTTTCTTTAAAACTAAGGAAAGACTATTAAAAATTGTCCAGGTTTACTTTATGCATCAGTGAGAATAAAAGACTGAACTGCATTTCCATTTTAATTTGTAGGTCTGTTCCCCCTCCTTTGACTGCTTGTGATGAGCAGTGTGACTAATGAGCTCCACGGGACCAAAAAGAGTGGCACTTTTCCCTTTCTTCTCCTTCCCCGGGTTTTATTCCTGGGTGTGGTTTTTTTTATGTTGCTTGCCTCTGATGTTTTGCAGCTTTTCTTGGTCTGGGCTTGGACTAATTCCCAGATCTGTTCTTGCAGATTTTAACTTTGCCATGTACCCACCATCAATGATAGCAACTGGAAGTGTGGGAGCAGCCATCTGTGGCCTTCAGCTCGATGATGGGGACAGCCTCACGGACCTCCTGGCCAAGATCACAAACACAGATGTGGTGAGTGTCCCACATTCCTTTCCTCCTTTCACTTCTCAGGGCACAGTGGAGCACCAGGCCATGAAACCTGTCCTGATCCTGAAAGCTCAGTGGAGCAAGGCAGAGTGATGCTTCCGGACTGACTTGCAGGCATGGACCCAGCTTTTGAATCTCCAAAGCTCCGTGGACCCCAGGGATCAATTTTTATTCACCCTTACTGGTTCAACAGCTTGGTGGGGAGAGGCTGCTCTGCCTGCCCTGGCTGCTGGTCCAGCACTAAAGCCCCCTTGGGTACCCCGAGCGATGGGGCGAGCAGGCAGGCAGCATTCCCTGGGGGTGTAAAGTAAACCAGGAGGTCTTGAGGTGGTGTTGGTCCTGTGTTTGCAGCCTTGAAACTGCTCTTCTGGCCCTCGTTGAGGTATCATCTAAAAATCCTTGGCTTGAAGGAAGTGAATAAGTAGTCTAGTTTACCGAAAAAGGGGAGGATTTCGATAAGTCTTTTTTTCTTACGATCAGATTTTTGATACCATCCTAATTTTCAAATGCAGTTCTGTGGCTTCCCATGTCTTTTGATTGGGACTGTATTTGCACAGAAAAAGGGACATTTCTAATTCTGAATGCTTAGAGTGCAAATCATAGAATCATGGAATGGCCTGTGTTGGAAGGGACCTTAAAGATCATCCAGTTCCAACCCCCTGCCATGGGCAGGGACACCTTCCACTATCCCAGGTTGCTCAGAGCCCCATCCAACCTGGCCTTCAACGCTTCCAGGGATGGGGCAGCCACAGCTTCTCTGGGAAACCTGTGCCAGGGCCTCCCAACCCTCACAAGGAAGAATTCCTTCCTAATATCCAATCTAAACCTCCTCTCTGTCAGTTTGAAGCCATTCCCCTTGTCCTGTCACTCCAGGCCCTTGGAAATAGTCTCTCCCCATCTACCTTGTGGGCTCCCTTCAGGTCCTGGAAGGCCACAGTTAGGTCACCCCAAAGCTTCTCTTCTCCAGGCTGGACAATCCCAACTCTCTCAGCCTTTCCTCTTAGGAGAGCTGCTCCATCCCTCTGATCATCTTGGTGGCTTCTTCTGGACTCGCTCCACGTCAATGTCCTTTTTGTTGGAGCGAGTCCAGAAGAAGCCACCAAGATGATCAGAGGGATGGAGCACCTCTGCTGTGTGGAAAGGCTGAGAGAATTGGGTGTAAGGCCCTTTTGCAGCATCTTGCAGATTGGACAAACTTTTATCTCCTGTGTTGAATTTTTTTACCCAGATTGTTTCAGTCTGAAAGCAAATACCTACCACAACAGCTCAGTAGTTCTTAAATGATTAGGAGAAAACAAAATGGGCTTTTTTTTAATTGAAAATTTCTTTACACCTTTTAAATTTAGCAGATTTTTTTTATCAGAAATTTGCTTTTTGTTATCCTGGTGAAAATCTTTCCGACTATGTTCCTTCGGAAAAAAACAAAAAGACACTTCCCAAATAACAAAGAACTCTGAATGTTTTACTGGTCTCATCTCCTTTCCAAATGTCTGTTGGCACTGGGTAGAGACAAACTTTCTTCCCTTTGCTCCTGGGGTCAGCCCCCAGCAGCACAGACCGTGGAGGAGAGTTTCAGTCCCCGAATCAGAGCACACTTGGGATAAAAGGAGCTTCTGGATAATTTAATTGCTAAGAAACAGAAGTCTCTGCAGAAGTTGGAGGTGCTGTCATTTTTTTTCAAGGTGTTTCCATTGTCGTGACCTTAACTCCCTGCAAGCTTTGAAGTCTCAGCCCAACCGAAGGTGGCCAGAATTTTTAACTTGGACAAAACAATGTATTTTTCATTAGCCAGCTATTTGGATTTGGGAGAAATATTTTGGTAGGAATTTCCTTCGTGACTTCTGCATTGGAAAAATGCAAAAGGGCCCAGGATTGGAAACTTTGATCCCACATGTTAACACTTGAGAGAGAAAGAAGCAACTGAAAACATGGTTTCAGGGGCAGTCTTAGCAATAGGTAGTAATACCAGCCTCATGTGTAAAATGTATTGTTGGAAAAAAATGTACTGGCTAGATTGTGTAAGAGTTAGCCCAAGGCTGTGTTAATAAAGAGTAAAGACTATTGTAATATATTTTACACTAGGACTTAATTAAAGTTGAATGAACAGATTCAGCTCTCTCACTTCCTAATTTCTGATGCCTGAGAGCTGTTCTTGCAGTGACACAATTCATTCATTGTCACTGTGTGAATGATTTTGTTTTCAATGGGGAGGTTAGGGAAGAGGGGGAAGTGAGAGTTCCTGGGCTTCAGGAGCATCACATGGTAGAAAAGCAGGGGAACTCACAGAAATTGCAGTTCTACAGAGCAAAAACTTCTTGCCCCCCTGTGTCTCGTGGGACAGGAACCATGAGGAAGCTGGGGGAAGAGTCCTTCCCAAGCCGGAGGGTGCTGGGGCCTTCTGATCCTTTTTGGCTTTGGAGTGTGTGATTGCTTAGCATGGAAACAGATGATAGGACTTTCCCACTGGCTTTTCAAAACATGTCACTATCCGAGGTGAAGCATGAAATTTTTCACAGAATTCTATGATTCTATGAAAAATTTCGGCTTCAAAGCTCCAAGCATATGAAAAGAGAGAGTGATAATGAAACCCTGATTCTGCTTAACTGCAGTGAGCTCTTCTGAACTTTGACTGGTTTATAATGACAATTTAAGGGTGCAGTCTATTTGCTGGGAAATAGCAGCATAAACCAGGAGGCTGAAATCAATGGAGTTACTCTAGATTTACACTAGAGTTTGACGTTTAGTGCTAAAATTAATGTTTTTAATGTATATTTCATCAAGAATTAGACCAAAAAATATGTTATTAATAAACAACATATAATTTAGAGCCCAGCTGTTGGGTAAGCAAGCAACCAACACATTGGTTGTTTGAGACACATTGGTGTTGGATAAATCTGATAAATCGGTGCCCTGGGCTGTTTGGTGAAGGGTAAATCACAGCCTGGAGAAACAGTGACAACAGGGCCATGCAAACCTTGGTTTCATTACTCCTTCCCCCTACCAAAATAAACACCAGGGAGCTGCTCTTGGAGGAGCTGAGAAGCTCAGCAGCCTTAGGGGTAGTGAAAGTAGCTCTGCATGGTGTATTTGAGTTGCCTTCTGTGGTTGTTTTTGTCCCAAAGAGTCATTGAGAGCTAGTCCCACATAACTTAGGGAGGTGATTTGCCCCCTCTGCTCTGCTCCCATGAGACCCTACCTGGACACCTGTAGGTGTCCTCAACATAAGGACATGGAACTGTTGGAGCAAGTCCAGAGGAGGCCGCGAAGTTGATAAGGGGATTGGAGCACTTCCCCTATGAAGCCAGGCTGAGAAAGTTGGGGCTGTTCAGCCTGGAGAAGAGAAGGTTGTGTGGAGGCCTCACAGCACCTTCCAGTATATGAAGGGGCCTCAAGGGAAGCCGGGGAGGGACTTTACCTCAGGAATTGTAGTGACAGGACAAGGGGGAGCGGTTTCAGACTGAAACAGGGGAAATTTAGTGTAGCTATATGGAAGAAATTCTTCCATGTGGGGATGATGAGGCCCTGGAACAGATTACCCAGAGAAGCTGTGGATGCCCCATCCCTGGAAGTGTCCAAGGCCAGGCTGGATGGGGCTCTGAGCGACCTGGGATAGTGGAAGGTTTCCCTTCCCACGGCAGGGAGTTGGAACCGGGTGATCTTTAAGGTCCCTCCCAATCCAAACCATTCTGTGATTATGTGATTCTGACTTCACCCAGCTCTGCAGGATGGGGATTGTATGTTCCATTCTGTTCTCCTGCCAGGGGGTGGGAACATTCCCTTTATTGTTGCTTGCAGAGGAGAGGCTGGAGGGCAAAGAGTTAACAGACCTACTCGCAGGAAACCGTGGAGCTCCCTGTGCATCTCTTGGTGGGTCATTGCAATGGAAAAACAAACAACTCAGGAAGTCAGGAATTTCCATAGCATCCCAGACCAGCACTCCAGTGGGAGCAGTATCCTGTCCCTGGTGGAGCTACATGCTTCAGAGGAGGATATCAGCATCCCTGCTGAGCACAAGTACAGGATGTGAGGAAGGATAGCTGAGTGGTCAGGGCACATTTTAAGGCCTTGCAATCAATATTCTGCTTTGCCACAGACCTGTGTTGGGTAAATCCATCCTTTCACTTCCTGGATGAGCAGCCATCCATCGGTTCAGTGTGTCAGCTTGCTAGCCTTGGGTCTGGGAGCTGTCTCCCTGGGCATGCCTGGGAGTGTTCCTATAAATCATGTCCAGGGCAGGTGTGCCCTGGCCTGGTTTCTGCTTGCGGGGACTTTGGTCTGGGCCCCCAGATCTCCTCCCAGAGGAGAAATACAGTAAGGTTTCTGAGGAGCTGGAGAAACCACTGCAAAGGTAGGTAGATGAAAATCTTCACCTTGGGCCAGAATTTTGTAGGCTTAAGTCAGTGAGAACAAGGCCCACAACTAAGTTTTAGACCTCCAAAGGCCCCCTCCAGTCTCTTTTCTGTGAGGCCAAGTAGAAATGTTGAAACTGTTATATTAAAAATTTTTTCAGGGTTACATCACTGACAAAAGCCAACAAGGTTACATCCCAGATGAAGCTGATAGTATCTGTTTAATAAGCTTGTAGCACCATGGTCACCAGAAGGGCTAGTCAGGTCCACTGTGTGTGATGAAGGGGTTGTATGTGCACAAGAGGAGCATCTTCTTCTCTGAGCCCAGCTCTCAAGGTCGCATCCAGATGGCACAAGGAGTTGTCCTTCCCCAGCTTCAGCAGCTGGGAAGAGGTTTTCAGGCAGAGACAAAGTGTAGGCCTGTAGGTGGGCACAATTCCTTTTTAAAAGTCTGTTTCCAGATGGAAACTGGTGTGTATTGTGTTGTTTGGAAAATCCAAAGCATATTTAAAGGCCTGAGGTAGAAAGAAAATAAGGAACCGAGATTTTCTTTAGGTCCTGTCGAATGAGCTGGCTGTGAGCCATTGAATATGCGGAGTGGGGCTGTTTTGAAGACTGGACCCACAATAAAAGGCA